AATTAAAGTTACATATCAAAACTAATGTGTATGTCATATGATGTTATGCGTGTACGCATAACATTCATCTTATACTGACAAGTAAATTGTGACTTTCCCTCTTGGAATGGAATAATACATGGTTCCAGCTGTTCTATTCCTTGCAATACTGCAACATAGATTAGACAATGTCTCTATAGGCTGAATCATTCTAAGTTTACTGAAATAAATCAACGTTAGCTATCATACGTTCGAAAAATTACTTATTTTACGTTGTTGTGTTTTATGTTTTGTTTTGTTTCGTATTTTTTCCCGAAAGCATCAACTTATCTTGCGATTGGACCGTGAGAAGACTCATAGGTTTGGCACCATATATCAGGGAGGAGGGGAGATTAGTTAAGGAATGGACTTAAAGCAGACGAAAATCAGACATTCCAACCGCAGAATAAATTTCAACAAAGATAGAACAAACCATCATCGGCTATTATCGCAATGATGTATGTTCGTCATTGTTCTATCTACTAAGTGCAGATACTGAACGTTTGATCATGTTAGATACACACAGTTTGAAATTCACTGAGTGGAGGCCCGCAAATAAGGCAGAGCTTAACTTCTTTAGCGTCGTCCGGAGAAGAAAGCTGTAAAATGAGAGAAGAATAGCAAGAGCTGAGATATCTCCCATAGAGAGAGAGCCTCGCTTACTACAAATTTGACACAGGTTCATGGCACTTCAGTCCTTAACTTGGCGATATCTTTAATCTGATTTTGTTTTTCAAGTTCTCAAAGGTTTTCGGTCGTCCTTCAAAATCTGGTCGGCAAATATTGAACTTGAAGAAGTCCCTGAATGAGTAATACCTGGATCGAATATCGTTCTAAAAGAATTAAAAGCCTGCTGTACAAATTTTAAGTAAACTTACATCTTCACGCTTAGGGACTCAAGGCGAAAGGCCTCCGGCTCGATAACCTCAAGAGGATTATCAGATAATGTTCTGCAGGAATAAAACGAGGGACGATGAATATGTGGCAGTTAAAATCACGGTGAAATATTTCTATGAAAATATAGTCGAAATATGATTAATTTCATTAGGAGTGGAATAATTGTAACGAACCCGATAAAATCGAACACCCTCTATAAAATGAAAGCTGCTAAGTCTCTGATTTCGTCTTGCCCTATCTACTATCAAATTAAACTATATCCTCTGGACACCAAAATTAGCCCTTTTCGACCCAATTTTGGGTATTTTGACATCTTGTAGTATAATTTCACAATTCCAATCAATTATTTGATTCTTTGATGACGTTTTGAAGAACATTTCACAGAAAATTTTTTAAAAATTTCTGCATAACTACAGACCATGCCCGACTACTGGCCTTGTAGCTAAACATAAATCAGATTGTTTTAAAGATATTTTTCCAGAGTAATTTGCTGTCGGCTAGGGACAGTGCCTGCTAAGAAGGATCGGATCTTATCATGCCGGTAAAGAGGATCTTATGAACAGTTTTCAAAATTCAGGAAGAAAATCGGAAGAAGTCACGAGTAAAATTAATGATTAATAGCATATGTGTTTTTAGAAATTGCCCGAGTCGGCTAGTGACAAGGCAAATTTCTGCCGCACAGTTAATATTAATCCTGAATTTACTTCGGTATTGGTGCTGTAAGACATGTAGTTAAATAGCAACCATTTGGTAGAATGGAAATGAGTTACTGGAAATCAGAATTGTGATCCGATTTTATAAGGCAAAGAAAAAAATACACCCATTCCTATGCTAGATAGATCGCACTTTACTTATTCATGATTACTTGCTTGTGATAAAAGAGCAAAATTACATTTTATCAAGATGGTAATAAACGCACTCTGTTGCATCAATGAACTGTAAAAAGCACGAATAAGCTGAAGCATGTTAAGCTTACTGGCCACTAAGCTGTACGTCAAACCAGGCAATGTGCGAGCTCCTTGATTCCATAATAGTGAAGATATTGTGAAAGCCTATTCAAATTTGGGCATCAAATTCAACAACTTTGGGAAAGAAAAGTGGATTTTACTCATTATCAGGGTTCATCTTGACCTCTGTTACTGTAAAATATTATCTACAACTTTTTTTCATCGCTGCCTTTGTGATCGTATTTCCAATTTATGTGCATCTATACCCTTTTTTCTTCCGTAGTTGGGCTTATGGAATGACAGTTAAAAATACTCACAGTAGGACTAAGTGAGTCACATTATAAAAAGCTCTGTAAGGAATTCTCCTCAAATGGTTTCTGTTGAGGAAGCTAATCGAAACGGCAAAGCAGTCACTGAAGGAAATAACTTCAAGACTATTTTTGTCAGAGACGAGAACATGTCAAATATTGTGTTATAAAACGAGGTTGTTTGTTTTTCATTGCTTAAAAGACATAATAGGCGTTTATTATTACTTAAAATGTGGATTTTGAAGCCTTCAAAGTAAAGCTCTTCAAAGACATGTTACATCTCAATCTGTAACTTAACTTACTTTGAAGTAGGAATTTTAATTAAGAATAAAACAATAAAAAGAAGTAAAGAAATGAATTAAAAGAAAAACAGTAAATTGGGTCACCAACATTCTGCGCAGTGAATTGAAAGGCACACCGAACGCGTTGTCGGGGAACATGGAAAGTTTATTCCAAGAGAAATCCCTGTGGAAACGATTACATTGGGCAATAGAGGTTATTGCAGTCAAAATATATGAGTCAGCCTAATTAAAAGAAAACTTTTTCTCTCTAAAAAACAGGCGATGCAGGCGACCCAGAGTGACTCAAGAAGTAGACTTAACTTCCACAAGCAGTCGTAACATTTTTGCAAATTCACGAGCCCCATGTACCCAATGGGCTTTTGAAACCGTATATGACTCGCGTATTTTGAACACAACGCAGTGCAGCTGTGATCAAAAACTCGACAAGCTTCCCAACACACAGCAAGACTAAAGCTCAAGAAATTAAAAAGATGGGGAAAGATGTTGGTCAAATCAAAATTTTCAGAAACCGTCTGATAAGGGCTGGATCTATTGTTGCTCAAACTCTGCTAAAGAAATAGTTGCTTTGACCGAGGTACCGCAAGGTTCAAGTTATCAAGTGCCCAAGTTAACAGAAGTCGATTAAAAATCATGAATCGATGGGTCGGTTAATAAGTAAATAGTAAGTTCGAACAAATGAATCCTAGAGAATATTCACTCGTGACCTGATGGTCGACATTCTACTACGGGATGAAAATTGCGCATAAGTGGCATTAGTTAATACTTACAGGAATGTCAGAATCCCAGAACTTGGTAAGCCAGGAAGAGAGGTAATAGAGTTGAAAGATAGATCCCTGTTAAAATGTTCAGAATTTGATGCAAATAAAATAACTTAAATTAACCTTCGAACAATTTGAACTCTTTAACTGGTTCATGATTAGAACAATTTTTCCTCTTGAATTCAAGTTCTTAAGAAAGCCGAAAACAGTTTTTTTAAGCTCCTACCGGCTACATGTACGTTCAAAACCCTCAAACCCAACTTTCTCCCTTCGCAGTCCAACGATTCTCACTCAAGCTTTGATCAAAATATTGAAATTTGAAATAGTGAATGTGGCATGACAATCGCTATGAACATGCGAATGAAATCGAGAAATCCAATCTGACATGTTTTCGCAGGGGTGGGGGGGAGGAAAGGGTAAGGGGGGGAAATTTGTGTTGTGTGATGCGAAATTAGTCGGTCAGAGTTTGGAAAACTATTTCCAACCACCTTTAGTGTAAACTGCTTTCTACAATAAAAATA